TTCGCAAGACTGAGGAAGTGCATAAACGCAGAAAGCGTGGTGACGACTGCCATTGCGACTAGTATGGCAACTTACGGTCAGCAAGTCAGGAGAACTACGTCCCTGCTGGGACCCAAGGGCGTAATTTTTTTTTACAGAAGTTGCAAGAACTGGAGCATCGGGTCCAGTACTTCAGGAGCGCCCACAACCACTTATTTACAAGCTTCAAGAAAACCATCAACCGGCATCCTCGAGTGGGCACTGCTAAAGACTTCGGACGTGCGCCTTCTCAAGAGGAGAAAGTCGGACCAGCGCGGCAGATGTCTAGAGGATACTTTCCGGAAGCCAACTAACATCTAACCAAAATCTGCAAATACGGTGATCCTCAACTCGTGGACAGGTCTGCCAAATTGTCCCAGGAGATGTGGCGGCAGAGCTGTTGTCTTGACCATGCTTCTGCACGAAACAAAAGCATGGATAGTATAAGATGGGTATACAAGAGCGGTAAGCCATTTCCATCTAAGCTGCTTCAGAAGAATATCGAAGGTGAAGTAGAAGACGAGGATCTCAGAGAGTGCGGTCCTGAAAAAAAACGAGCGTGCTCAGCGTCTATGCCATGCTGAAGTAACTCGGCACTAGGCAGAACTGAGGGCCAGATTGCATTGCTTCTTCTTAATGTGGCTTTTATGGCTCCAGCTTACGTGAGACTTGAGCTCCTCGCGACGAAGTCTAGTTTGTGTGGGGTGATGGACAAGGTCGTGTGTGACACGTGTAGACGGGTTGGGTACCTTTGCCAGTCACTGAGTCGACGTCCGCCGCCGACCTTTTTGATTTCGCTCTGCCGTCGGAAGATGGCGGGAGCGGTGGAAGTAGTTCGGTAGATGTAGCGAAATCTCTTTCACAATAAGCCGTAACTGCACCTTCCTTGGGGAGGCGAGCGGCGATGGATTTTGCCCCTTGTCCGGTGGTAAAACTACTTGCAAAAGCAACGGTTTTGACTAAAAAAGAATGTTTTATGTTGTCCTACTGCTTTTTTAAAATAAATTGGACCGGAACAAGGCGAAGGGTGGCGTTTTTGACTGCATGGATGATTTGCAAAATGATCGTCAGTTGAGAAGTACAGTAGGTGGGCTAACTCATGAAATGTCAACCGAAATTCCGAAATGTGCTTTTGTTTCGAAAAGATTGATTAAATAATATCGTAAAACAAATAAACTTGCAGCATAATTCTATAGTAATTCAGTTACCCCGGGATGCTGGCTTTAGAATTAATATCTTTCCGGCCGCATGCAAAAATTACACCCTGAAAGAAAGACTACTCAAGTAGCATGCATTTTTCTCATTGATTTCCTGTGTCCTTAAAAATTCAATTATATTTCATAGAAAACATGCATAAAATAGTCTTTCTTTTGCTTATTCGTTAGAACATTACTCCTTCTTCAACCTTATACTCGAAGGAAGGGTAAAATCAGTTTTAAAAAGTTTCCATTTGTGACATGTTTAATACCGTGAAATGACCGTTCACAAAACGTTGTCTCTACATCCTCTAATTTGGCTTGTAAAGCTAACAATATAACTCAGATCCACTGCTAAATTTTATGAACTCCGTATATTCTCCTCTTAATACCGTAGAGAAACGCATGGTTTTCTGTACGCGACAAATATACAACTTGTAGTTTGGAAACCCTGAATGTAAGTATAACAGCAGATCGGGGTTCAAAATTATTCGGAAATTGGAAAAATTATTGGAAACCGAATTATACCCTTCTTTCGAGTGTACAATTGGAAAAAGACGTAGTTTTCTACCGAATGAGCGAAATAAAAATATTTTTATACATGTTTTCTATGAAGTGTTACTGAATTTCTGAGGGCACCGAAAACCAATGGCAAAAAACATGTTACATAAGTAGTCATTTTTTACATAGTATAGTTTTTCCATGCAGCCGATCGGAAGCTCTTTCGAAAGCCGGCATTCTGAGGTACCTGAAATGTTATAAAATCATGCTGCAAGATGATTAGTTTTAAAGCCCTACTTAATTAGTCTTTTCGACTCGAGAACGCACTTTGGAATTTCGGTTAACATTTCATGATTTTGCCCACCTACTGTAAATGGAAATATATACGCTTGCAATCAAAAGTTTTCACTTTTCGCATTAAATGATTGAACCTCATCTAATATGAAAAGACCGATGCCCTTTGTGAACAACCCCCTGAAAAGTTTATTTCTGCTCTGATATTTTGGTCGAAATTTCGCAAATTATTCTTTGAAACTTACAGACGAGAATGCAAATGTTATACTTATTAAAATTACGCCGATAATTTTGAAGAAGAACAGAGCATAGGAGAAGGATAAGAAGAAGAAAAAGAGGAAGCGAATATAAAGCAGGAGAAGGAGAAGTGATCAGGTTCTGTTGTATAAATAAAGTTAGCTTGACGAACTGCTAGAATAAACTTATTTTAGTAATGTTGCCAGAATTAGATCTTCCTGACAGTATCAACCCGTCAAAAGTTACGGTCAATGAATAGTCGTGTTTGAGATGGATGCCCGCTTAACTGTCATCACCTTTACAGACATTATGTCTCATTATTAAGAATGGGTAATGGATCCGTGGTCACCCATGTATTAACAGAATGACAATATAATGTGTCGGGCAACGTGGATACTCGCTATTGGCCACATGCTTTGGCAAAGACAATGCTACTGAAATATTTTTATAGAGTTACTTTACTCGGAAAATTTCCGGATTATAATTCTTCCTTTTTGCGCAGTTATACCGTAGACCGAGGCAAAAAATAAGAATACGAGTAAAATTTTACTGTAGCTGAAATCGGAACACCACTGGTCCAAGGTAATAAACTTCAAGTATCTTCTCATTGCTTCCAGTCTAGAATGGTATTCCGATAAACAAAAGTGAGACTAGAGAAGAAGCACCATGATCTCATGTGCCAGTTAGAGGACATATACGCTAAGTTTTGGAAGATTCCGACGTTTACTTAGCAATTTCGATGGGAGCATCTACAGCACTCTGTTCAAAACCGATAATACTAACAGCGACCATTGGATTACTTAATCTAGGGTCTCAACGAACATTTTAACCACAATATCTAAGCCCAGCTCTTCTGGTGGTCGTCGAAATCTCATTTGTTCAATTTAAGACCCGTAAAAGTCCAGTTACCTCTCCGAGTGTGCGCCCTATAATGTAGCGGCACAGTGTGTCCTGTTCTGGCGAGCTAAAGACGCCCGTTAATAAGTGCATAACCATGAAAAAGAATTCTACTTAGGAAGCCACCTAGTGAATAATTTGCTTCCCTTTATTTGACTGATGTTAATTGTCCCAGAATACTGTTGAAGATGCGGCCGTGTATAGTCTTCAATACCATCATATAGTAGCCGACAGCAAGCAATGCACTTGCAACAGGTTTCCTCCTCCTGCAACCGAGTTCGATGTGATTGTTGACATTTCCTTAACGAGCTATCAAAAATAAACCAGGGCCCAATTTCACAAAAATATCCAAAGTGGATGTGAAGTATCTTTCGTCGAGAGTTTTAATTTGAAGATACAATAGTAAACCTGATTGACGCCATCGAAAAACGCCGTTTTAGGATCAACAGTAAAGAATATTTCAAACATCATGGTCAAAAACAGACAAATAAATAGGGAAAGAAGTGAAGACCAGATTACATATGTCTGTCCTGGCGATGATTTCGATCTTTATTTATACGGTTCCATCACTGCCGCAATCAAAATCGGTTGGAAGATGGAAGAAACAGTCGTTGATATATGGACGATCGACAAGGAATGTGGCTCAAATCGGACCTTGTTGGACGGAGTGGCCAATCATACTGTAGGGATGAGTCACAGTCTCAGAAACTACTATTACCAAAGAGCATGTGTTTTACTAGAAACCTTTGTGCTAGGCAGTCCAATAAACAGGACCGAAACACCAGCAATGGAAGAGGGCATATGAATAACATGCTTTCAGATACGAATACCCTTGATTATTAATAGGGCAAAGAAAATTCGCCGGAAAGTAATGAGGCGCTGGATGGAAGCATCAGCAAGTGACCGGACTGATGACAGCAAAGTGGTGCTCAAATGAAATGGATTTAAAATTAAAGGACAGAAATGTTAGAAGGCAGTGCAGCATCAAAATATAGGAAGGAAAGGACTTGGTTAATTATACGTCGAAAACCACCAACCATTAGGCGAAATGGGCCACTTTGATTTCAGGCACAAAGTACCACTCGAATGCGCTCTTAATTCTGATTGACCCGGATCGTGGTCTCAATGTACTATCGCAACTGGAGCATACTGATTTTAGGGTCAACATCTTTCCCCAAGCCTATGAAAATTGTTCAGAAAAGATCACTACATCAGTGGTTCGTATTTTGTCCTTTGATTTTAAAGGGCTGTGGAAATTCAGTCGTATCTTCAAGAAAGGATCTATGCAGCTTTTAGTAAGCAAGTCCACTTAGTGGGAAACTGTGCTTAAAACACTTTCAGGCTTCTGTAAATTTTTAAGTACGAGCGTGCTTCCATGTCTTTTAATGATTGCCAAACTACATGCTATGCTCTTCTCCGCTGAAGGTTCTCATACCACTGTCTCCCCTTATTAAGACGCCTCTGGGTACTTATGGAGGATTACAAAAATAATAAACCTAGGGACATTTGGTAACACAAATAATCCTGAAGTATCTTCAAAAGCATCATAGCTGTGAACTTGTTTAAGAGTATACCGTTTAAGCGAGGCCTATTGTCTTAAGAAAAGAGAGTATTAACCGAAACGGTCATGTATCTTCACTGAGAATTGCATGTGAGTCCGTACAGGCACCAGAAATCAATGGAAGACGAGGGTTAAGTATATGCGCGGGGTAGGAAAATACCAAATATTGTTTAATAAATTCACTAGCGTTTTAACATTCCTGCCTTACTGGCAGACGTTTGCATTCCGTTCACCATTATTGAGTATTTTTTGCTATCTGACTGCTCTAAAGAATTGCGTGTGAGGTGTGCAGAACAATGGACCAATGCAGCCATTTCATCATCACCGGCTCCTCGGGGCGGTGCGGGCCAGCGAATGTCATCCTGCCGATAAAGGACCGACCAAAACTCGGCAAAACAACCCCTTCTTCTAAAAATATTGCAGGCAGCTCTCCATAGTTTCTCTTTACCCTGCGCATATACTTAATCCTTACCCAAGGGAAAAAATATACACCAGTAAGGTTGGAAGTCGAATTTGTCTGTTCGTATCTTGTTTGGGGCCGCCACCGTCCAAAACAGCGGCTCTGGATTTTGTTACAGCATGAATCGTGCACTTGGGTGACTCTCATCTACTGATACCGACAGGAATTTACTTATGGTTATACATAGTTCGGCCCTTGTTACCGATGCTGTCAATCGTATGCCCTGTGCGCGAGGACAGCGACTTGTACTTAAACCAGTTTATGGCAGATTTGCGCAAGGTCTGCCGTAAACTCCCCTTCCTCACCCACCTTGCTCTGGTGATAAGACAGCTTTGAAAAAACCGGAAGTGGGCTTCGATTCCAGGTTGTAATGGGTGCTGAACGTCATGGCTTGAAAGGTTGCCAAGTGACGGTACAACTCCGACCTCGCGGTCGGCCCTGTGTGTGTGTGTCGTCGGAGATGGCGGAGGGGCGGTTGAGGACGCCTCGGAAATGCTCGGCCCATCGCTGTAGAATTTGTGACTTCTCAGTGAGGACGCCATCGCCCGTTTGCCGCAAGTGGAGGCCAACGCGGACCTCGACCTCCCGCCATCTCTCCAGGAAACCACCAGGGTCGTGCAGCAGCTCTCCAGCGGGAAAGCACCCGGATCGGACGCAATCCCTGCTGAGGTCTACAAGCACGGAGGTCCCCAACTCATGGACCACCTGGCTGCGCTCTTCCAGGAGATGTGGCGTCAAGTGAAGTCCCGCAAGATTTCAAAGACGCAACCATCGTGCATCTCTACAAGCGAAAAGGGAACCGTCAAGTCTACGCCATTCGCCGTGGCATCTCCTTGCTGAACATCGCCGGGAAGATCTTCGCTCGCATCCTCCACAACCTTCTACCGGAAAGCCAATGCGGTTTCCGTCGTCGTCGTGGGACCACGGATATGATCTTCGTCGCCCGTCAACTTCAGGAGAAGTGCCAGGAGATGCGGACCCACCTGTACTCTACATTCGTGGACCTGACGAAAGCCCTCGACACGGTGAATCGTGAAGGACTGTGGAAGATCATGCAGAAAGTTGGCTGGCCGGAGCGATTCACTCAGATGGTGCGTCAGCTGCACGACGGTATGATGGCGCAGGTCAAGGACAACGGATCTGTCTCAGAGGTATTCGCAGTGACCAACGGAGTGAAGCAGGGATGCGTGCTGGCGCCCACCCTCTTCAGTCTTATGTTCTCTACCATGCCGATGGACGCCTAATGCGACGAACGCCCCGGAATCCGCATCGACTACAGGACGGATGGTCGCCTCCTAAATCAACGGCGGATGCACTTTCAATCGCGCGTGTCCACAACCAACGTTCAGGAACTTCTCTTCGCCGACGACTGCGCCCTGAACACCACCTCCGAAGCGGAGATGCAACGGAGCATGGACCTGTTCTCCGCCGCCTGCGAGAAATTCGGACTGGTCATCAACACGCAGAAGACGGTGGTGATGCATCAACCGTCACCCAACTCAGTCACACCCCCCCCCCAACGCGCCGCAAATCAGCGTGAACGGAACCCAACTGCAAGTGGTGGAGAACTTCCCGTACCTGGGCAGTACCCTCTCCCGCAACACCGAGATCGATGATGAAGTCGCCAACAGGATCTCGAAAGCCAGTCAAGCCTTCGGCCGCTTCCAAAGCACAGTTTTGAATCGCCATGGTCTCCAACTGAGCACGAAGCTAAAGATGTACAAGGCCGTCATCCTGCCGACGCTACTGTACGGAGCGGAGACTTGGACAGTGTACACGAAGCAGGCACGCCGACTTAACCACTTCCATCTCAGTTGTCTCCGTCGCATCCTGAGACTGAACTGGATCGAATCGCCGACACTGATGTGCTGGAACGGACGAGAATCGTCAGCATCTACACCATGCTGAGACTCTTATACGGAGACGTCGCGGCGGGTTCTCGCCGTCAAGGAGGTCGAATTCGCCGATACAAGGGCACTCTGAAGTCCTCCCTGAAGCATCTGCAAATCAACCCGACCAAGTGGGAAGAGCTCGCACTCGACCGACCGACCTGGAGGAGGACAGTGAAAACAGGCGCTGCGATCTACGAAGCCAACCGCATCGCCGCCGCCAAAGCGAAACGCGAAGCACGCAAATCACAACAGCGCCAAGTACGCAACGCCGACGCACAACCGCTACCAACGTGTCCTCGATGTCAACGGACATTCCGGGCTCCAATCGGACTTGTTGGACATCTTCGGATCAATTGCGCCTCTCGAACTGCACCAACCATCGTCTCCCTGCCCGCCTCTTCCTCGTCCTCTCTGCCACCAAATGATTCCGACAATTCTTCTGAACCGTCACTCTCACCCTCCTCCTCCTCCTCCTCCTCCTCCACTCTCTCAACGACGGCCGCTCAGGCGGGCGTCTCGCACATCACCAACCCTGACACAACAACCGACACCACCCCCACTTCCTCCGACTCCAGCGATGAGGATCAGGACTACACCTGCTCTCACTGCGACCGCACCTTCACCTCACACATCGGCCTGGTCGGTCACTTGCGAATCCATCGCACAGAGACTGGCGGACCAGTGCCTGGAGCACCAACCTATACCCACCAAGCTCGTCTCAACCGCCCACACTGTCCCCGCACTTTCAGGCACCGCATGGGTCTATTCGGCCACATGCGCATCCACGAGAGCGGAATTGACCGCAGTACCGACTCATTCCTCATGCCAAACCCCACCACCACTTCACCACCCTGCGCCCCCACTGCCCTTTCCGCAGCTGACACCGACGCCACCGACTTTATCTGCCCACACTGTCCACGCGCATTCAACTCTCGCATCAGCCTGGTCGGTCACTTGCGAATCCATCGCACAGAGACTGGCGAACCAGTACCTGGAGCCCCAACCTACACCCACCGCACTCGCCTCTACTGCCCACACTTTCCTCGCACTTTCAAGCATCGCATGGGCCTCTTCGGCCACATGCGCATCCACGAGAGCGGAATTGACCGCAATTCTGACACACCCACCACATCCAACACAGCCACCATGCCCAGCCCCATCCTCGGACCTTCGCCCTACGCGCCCATAACCACCACCGCCTCCTCTTTAGCTGAAACCGACACCGCCGACTTCTCATGCCCACACTGTCCACGCACATCCACCTCACGCATTGGCCTGTTCGGTCACTTGCGAATGCCTCGCACGGGGACTGGCAAACCAGTGCCTGGAGCACCAACCTATACCCACCAAGCTCGTCTCAACCGCCCACACTGTCCCCGCACTTTCAGGCACCGCATGGGCCTATTCGGCCACATGCGCATCCACGACGACCTGCGGTAGACAACCGCCGGTTACACCACACCACAACACCCTCCCGCCCTGCCCCCTCCTCCACCACCACTACTCCACCACACATCAACACTCACCCACCGCAAACACCCAACTGCCACCTCGCACGCAAGTGGGAAGTGTGCAGCTCAACTCGGTCCCCATGCGACTCCGGCTGCAGGGGTGACTTGAGTCCGAGACTATCCCGACACGTTAAGCGTCGTGGATAGGAAGGTTGCTGGTTGACGTCCGCTCCCGGCTCACGCATTTCGTCGTGTTGCGTGTGTGTTGTGTGGAGTGGCGGACTGGTGGGCTGGGGACGGGCTGAAACAGCACCTTCCACGGCCCTCTCACGCAAGTGAGAGACACGCCGTTCAACCCCCGTTGTGTGAAATCCTGGTGTGTGTGTGTGTGTATGGCGGGCCAGGTCGTGCTCGTGGCGCATGTAGGCATGGTTAGTCGACCATGACAGCCACCGCGCCCATTTCCCACTCCAGTCTGCTGACCGGCTCGGACAGCGGCTGCGGTGTGCGAATGGGAAGGGAGAGTGAGGTCGACGGCTCAGCGCACTTTCCTCACTATAAACAATCTGACGCGCTTGAAGCTATCACGGTGCGCTAAAAGCCGTGGCTTGGAATGTTGCCAACTGACGGGGTAACTTGGACCTCCTCCGTGATTGGTGGTGGTCTGAGAGTCAGGCTGCAATGGCTCCTTCTTAGTGTGGCCTTCATGGCACTCCCACCACAGTGTGGGATCCGAGCCAGGCGTCGGCGGCACGCCTAGGCGCGGCCTCGGCCGTGCCAGCCTCCAAATCTCTGTTGTGTTGGTTGAAATCCTGGTTATTGTTGTGTGGACCAGGGGTTGTGGTGGAACGCCAAGGTGAGGATCCGTCCGAGCCATCCACCTGCGGCCTCCCTCGTCTCCGGTCTTCTTGACTCTGTCTTGACACCGAGCTCGGGCGAGAGAGGAGGAGAGAGTGTAGGTAGATGCAGCGCAAGTCTATCGGCACTATAAACCCCTGCGCAAGTCACCGTCCCTGCTCTCGCAATGCAGTCTGTGGGGCATACGCTGGACATCGTCGAAATCGACGGTCGAACTGTCGTGCGTGTGTGTGTCTGCTTTTTGTTGAGTAGTCGGATGATGGACTGTGAGTCAGGCTCAATGGTTCCTCCTTTAAACGCTCCCAAATGGGCTGCCACGCACGTGCGATCCGAACCTCCCTCATCATTGGTGTGAAAACCCGGTGGAGGGCAGGTCGTGTGTGTGGCACGCCCAGACTGGCTGTTTAGCCGCTGCGCCAACCCCGGCATCAGATGACGGGCCGGTTCGGACAGTGGACTCGTGCCTGGGGGCGGGAGTATGAAGTGAGGTGGACGCTGTGAACTGCGGGTCCACGGCAATCAGCGCATATTCCTCCCTTCAGACAACCCGAAGCGCTCTAAAGCAATCATAAAGCAGTACAAGTCGGGATTTGGAAGGATGCCAACAGGCGGGTCAAGATGGTCCTCTACACAGGACGGAGAGTCAGGCTGCAATGACCTGGCCCTTACGCGACTCCGACCCATTTGGGAACATCGGTTAACAGCGTCGGTAAAGGCTGCCGAACTCTTGGTAGGAACCTTCGATAAACACAAGGATTATAGGTAGGGTTCCCACGGCAATTGCTCGCGTTCCGTCCTAAAATTAGGGTTGACCGGTGTATGTTGCTCCAATGTGACTTAGATCTTTACCAATCATATTCAGCAGCACCTGAGATTGTAGCCCAAGGACTGAGTTTTGGCTCAAAAACCAACCCAACCTGTGCTCGGCCTTCTCGTTTCTGTTATGGAATATGACTGATTGACACTGGCAAATGAGCCAAACATGTTAATTTTGGCCTTTTAGGTAACATTTATCGGTCTCTCAGCTCAGTTCAGTCCCGTTTTATTGAGGGAGAGATAGGCAAACCTTTTGAACTCCCTACCTTAGTCATTTTAAGTGAGGAAGTCAGTCTAGTGGCCGATGTATCGAAATGAACTTAGAGCATATCCATTTTCAGCAATTATGGGGGCAGCATCAACCATTCCTTCCTATAAATACACGTCTAAAATATTTCCAAGGGTAGAGTACTTCTAATGACGTGTGCGAATTTACGCATTTTTTCACATGTAACTCCTGAGAATAGTAAATTCAAGGAAATTACCGGAATACGTCCAACCTGTCATCGAAGTCAACGTTCAAACTAATGACAAATAAACAGGTTCCAGCAGAGGGGGACACGGAGAACGGAATTTTTGTTAAAGAGCGAAAAGCCAATTTGTTAGTACGGCATATTTTTGTTCGGCATCGAAAGAAACGAAATATGTCACTTACGTTGAAAAGAACGCGTGCGATGGATTTCGGCTTCGATTGATTATATTACTAGTTTGGTGAATACGGTGAATTTTCAAAGGCTGAAAATTTTTTGGAACCCTACTCAAGTGCCATGTTTTGAACTGGACTGTTAATCAATGAAAGTTTTATCAAACTTGTCTGGCGACTCTCATCGACGCCAAATTTTCCGTCTTGTGAATTTGTCCTCACAGAGTATTTTACTTTATCCAGACATATCCCACAAAGAAGCTTTACCGGCGGAGATTGAACAGTGAAATATTCATTCCTGTCTTAGTTGCTGTAATCTGTCCATCATATTTAATTCAAGACTGCACGCCAGAGGGTTGAACCCGAGCCAATTAATAATCGAATAACACCATCACCGCTGTACTGCGGACTCACGTTACCTTATCGGAGCTCGGGTATATCCATTTATCAGGACGCGTGTCACCTCGAGTTATTTCTTATGAAACGACCAAAAACTTACCGTGCTATACTTCCGTGTGAAAATAGATCTGAATTCTAGGCAAACGGTGGTTGGACATTTTTCAAATGAGCCAAGCTAAAGCATACCGTCTTCTACCCTCCATCCCTTTCAGTCTCTCTCCCTGTCCTGCTCGTGAAAGACCCTTCGAGGCTGTATTTATGCGTAGTTAAAACCAACCAATAGAAGAAAACGATGCATCTTATACCATGCCTAAAAACACTCCACGACAAGGGTCTTGTCTGACACCTATCTCTTTTACTACTAGCCTGTCTGCTCAGAAAATTTACACATGCGCCTCATTCCCCTTGTATCCTCTTTCTATAAATGAGGTTCTGGGGCAATAAAACATAAAAGCAATTGTTGTATGTAAATTATAGTTTCTACTTACATATATGAACGGACTAAAGCCCCTGTAGCGCCGACTCAGTGAGCATTCATCCGGCGTACCAGCATCCATATCCGTTCACAACTTCCGTTTGATTTTCGGCCAATCGTAGGCTGCTTCCGGAAACCGGTGATCTCTCTAGGAACTGATATTACCTGCAGAAGTTGTTCGCCTCCCAGCTGCCCCTCCGCACTGCCCCCCCCCCTTACTGAGCGGACGTGCCCTTGTGAGTAACCGGCTCGGTGAGATCTACTGTTCATTCACACAGTAAACCACACAACAACGCATGCACGCACACACGCTTCCGTTCAGTCCCGTCTGTCGGTCATCCCGCTCTGTCGTATGCTCCGCCATCCCCGGACTTCCGCACGTCTAATCTCACCGCGTTCGGGCAACTGATCAGTTGTTGGTTGTGTGAGGCAAGTGGAAGTTCACACCCCAGCGGGCTCACACTGATCTGATTCGTCCACTCAGAGAAAGGTGGTGGCATCCCCTTGGCGGAATAAGTCCCATGTAGGCCTGAAACAGTTGCTGGCTTTGTCTCCTTCCCCCTTCCTGTCTCGCACCCATTTGTGTGGTCAGCATTCAACGCACAAAAGGCCGTGCACAGTTGCATGTGTTCCGCTGTGGGAAAAACGATGTATTAGCAAAGGCAACTGAAAGTGCCCCCGCAAGTAGCAAAAGGCACTTCGAAGACCGTCTTCGTTGTAATCCTGCATAAGACCCACTGTAAAGACCCAAACCTTACTAAACATATGCGAAAAACAGACCGTCATCGGGTGCGTAAGCATGCCTGTGTTAGGCTACAGAGCCTACTGAGGTCCACACTGGTTATTAGAATATGCCTCATTCGCATCTCCGGAGTGGCTGGACAGACCACAGCACAGCCACTTTAGATTTGCGTGGAATGCTCACAGGATGTCGATTTGCTGGGAAATGTCCATGCGCAAACGCAGACCCGAAAATCCGCGAGAAGCTGAAGGCTGATACGGTCCAAAATGTTCGCAACACTGTTTTCTAAAGGGGCGCTTTCCACTTCAGCGGGTTGGGCGACGCCCCATGTACTCGGGCGTTTTTTCGCTGACGCCTTGTGCTCTTCACATGACAACGTTCGACAGGCACTGAACTGCACATGCGGTCTGTTCGGAATGAGTGATCTCGAGGAACAACGATACCCCTTTTAAACTAATAATCCAGAACCGGCTTTGCCCAGATGTGACTGTTCAGCCTCTCGAGAACTCCTAGCAAACAACAGTGATATGGCAAAAAAACTCCGTAATCCAGAAATGTTACTGACATAAGCAAAGAAGACTGCAATGGCCAGTACTGGCTTATTTTTCGCCATCAATCAGTCATATTCCAGCCTCAGAAAACAAAAATCTGAGGTCCGAAGTGGAGCTCTTTTTAACTGGAGTCTCAAATGAGGCCTATGGAACTTACAGTATTGTCTAGTACAGACGGTAGGAGGTAGGCAAATGCCTTAATCGTAGGGCGTTTGTCTCAAAGCTCAATGACCAGAGTCTCTGTTTAGTTCCCTGCCCACCTGGCAACGGCCAGAAATGGCTGCTCCAGAAACTCGTATCTTTGTCCGTCACACCTAGATTAGTAATTGCTCGTCGCAGTGTGACAATCTGTGGGTGATCGGAACCAGAAATATAAGGTACAACAGAAGTGACTCCTCTTTTGTGTCGAAAGTAGGACAGATCGGTTCACATAAATCCTATGCGACTTACGCGCGCGAGAAACACGCGACTGCTATGCATCTGTAGTCTGCCCCCGATACAGTTC